TCCTAAAGAGTAGGCTCTAAATTGGCATCATATAATTTACATCACTTTTGTATTTTTACAAAGCAATCACAAACTTAGCCCAGTCAGAAGCAATTTGAGAAATTGATCTAAAATAGAAAGACAAAAATTATTAAGCCGTCATTATCATCTCACTACAGCTAGTAGTACTATTCATAAAATAATGACACATTTCTTTAGAAATACACTTTTTAATTTAATTCAATTTTATTTACTAAAGTTTCCAAAGATAATAAAGATTGTTCACACATAATCCATACCCTGTTTCCTCTAATTTTAACATCCTATAGCACCATGAAACTATTGTAAAAACTAACTAGCCTTAATATACTAATGTCAACAACTCTAGGATTTATTTGGATTTTACCTATTTTTCTGTTAATTTTTTTTCTTCTTCTAATCCAAATTCAAATCTAGGGTTTCAGATTAATTAGTTGTAATATCTTCCCAGTCTGAGACAGTTTCTTAGTCTTTCCTAGTCTCCTGTACCTCGAAAGTCTTTAAAAGCACTGGGCAGAGTGTAGAATACACCCAATTCATGACTTGTCTCATTTTATTTTAATGATTATGTTGAATGAAGGTTTTTGAAAAAAAATACCACAGAGTATTCTTCTCATTACATCATATAAGATGATAAGGTAGAAACATGATATCATTGAGAGTATTAATCTTCATCACTTGTTGAAGGTAGTGTTTGCCAGATTCATACATGCTCTGTAAAAATTACTAAATTTCTCCTTCTATACTCAATTCTTTGAAAGCAAATCACTATGTGCAGTCCCTTTTCAGGTAGTACCTAGAAGGCAATTAGGTTCTAACTCCTGAGAAAGGGCACATATACATACAGTCTTGGGCAAAAGTAGGTTTATAGTTTTCCATATAGAAAATAATAAATAATAACACAAGAGTAACTGTGTTTCATGTACTCTATACTTGTAACTGTAAATCTACTTTCCCTACCTATGTATATTAATGTAGTTCTTTTATAATGAAGATTTGACTCATCTCCACAAATTTATTCATTTATCTAATCATTTATGTATATTATTATAGACTTATGAATATGTATATTCTATTTTGGGTTATAACCTAATACAAGTTATTCATTCATTGTTCAAATTGATCCAGCTTTGTTTAAAGGGTGTTCTTTCAGGTTGGCTAATGTATTCTTTTAAATTACCTTATTTTTCAATTTTTGTTATAAACTTAAGAAATTTTAGAATAGATTTAAATTTATAGAAAAGTTGTCAATATAGCACAGAGGGTTTATATATTCCCATAGCTGGTTTTCCCTATGATTTATACCTTACATTAGCCTGGCAGATTTGTTAGAATTAACTGAAGACCACAAGACCATATTTTATTCATATTTCCTTAGTGTTTTTTTTTCTTCCCCCTAATGTCCTTTTTCTATTACAGGTTTCCATCTACTTAGTTGCCTTGTCACTGTAGGCACATTGAAATAATCTGAAACCAAGCCCCCCACAAAGTGCATAATATTGTTAATTATTCTGTAATGCAATCCTTGCTTTATTTTCCCCCACTCCATGTAATCTTCCTTATGTTCCCTGCTTAATTCCAAATGTATAAAATAAGCTACAAGTCTTTCATTCTTCAGAGCATTTGAAATCTTGCTCTAAAGCATATCTCCCCAAAACACTCTTATTAAAATTATCTACAGATTTGGGCACTCATGTCTACAAACGGTAATGCCAGAATATCTTTCACTGAGCCTAACCAACAATAAATAAATAAATAAATAAATAAATAGATAAATAAATAAATAAATAAATAAATTGAGAGGATAGACACTTGGTACAAAATATTTAAATGTTTCTCTTTCCCATACTCACCACTACCATGTTTAAAAAAATATAGGTTTTATATACCTGGAATATTTATGTGGGGTATAGACAATGCGTTTTCCAGTTTGTAAGCATGGAACCTGCCAGCTGCAGTGAAATAAGTAAGGGTTAGAGAAGCAAAGAAAGAGGTACAGATTGTAAATAGGAGCATACAGCATGTCAAAAGCTTTTGAATCAGAAAAGTGTGTAACATAACTAATGAATTTACCTCTTTTACACTTGCCTTACTGCTTCAGCCTCACTTTGGCAAAGAGTTGTAATATGAGATATGATATATTATTAATAAAGATAATGTCATATTATGAATATATTTTGAAGAAGAATGTAAGAATGCCTAGTACCTTTCAAAGATGAAAGATGGTATATGTGTTGTTGGTCTCAGATGAAGAGAGGTTGGCAAAGGTGGTGACCGGGTGAAGAATGAGAGAAGTATAGACTGCTGGTGTGTCTCAGTGGTTGAGGATCAAGCCATGAACCAAGAGGGTGCATGCCTGTGTTGCTAGCTCAATCCCCAGTGTCGGGGTGTGCAGGAGGCATCTAATCAATGCTCTCATCATTGATGTTTCTATCCTACTCTCCCTTTCCATTATATTCTCTGAAATACATAAAAACATTTTAAAAACGAATGAGAAAAGTATAAAACTATAAGGAGGAAGAAGGATCAAGACTATACTTACAAGTTCTGTGTTAAGTAAAAACTGAATAGTAATTGAAGAGTGTATTATTATTATTAGTAGTAGTAGTAGCAGTAGTAACAATTAATTCAGAAATGATTGCATTTGATAACTTACCTTGTTTTATCCTATCTAATAAAATAGAAACATGCAAATTAACCATCACTCCACTATGCCCACCAGCCAATCAGAGTGAGTATGCAAATTAGCTCAACAAAGATGCCAGTTAATTTGCATACACAGGCACTGAGCAGCCTGGGTCCAGTGAACATTCTCTGGACCCAGGCTGCTCCTAACCTGTAGGCCTGCACTTAGGCCCTGAGTGGCAGGGATCCCAGAACACCCCCTGGCCACTTTGAGCCTATGGGTGCAGGTGCCAAGAGGCTGGGGGTGGGGCGGGAATATCTGCTATGGCGATGCAGGGATGTTCCTGCCCTGCACCCAGCTACTTGCTAATGCTCTGGCATCACGCAGTGGTTTGGGTCCATGACCCCAGCCTGGCACCCATGACAGGGGGCTGGCTGCTGACCTCAGGGGCATTTGGAGACTGGGATGTTCCCACCCCAGCCCAAGCCGCTTGCAGGAGCTCCAGCACCAAGTGGTGGTACATGACCACACCCCCAGCCCAGCACCTTGGGTTGTGTGGAGACCCCAGGGACCACCACCGGTGGCAGGGACATGCCTCTAGCCCAGTAGACACAACACAGGGGCTGCATAAACTGCAGAGAAAACACCTTTTTTTTAGAAATATATATTTTATTGATTTTTTTTTCCCCAGAGAAGATGGAGAGGAATAGACAGTCATAAATATCAATGAGAGAGAAACATCGATTGGCTGCCTCTTGCATCCCACTGGGTATGTGCCTCCAACCAAGGTACATGCCCAAACCTGGGACCCTTCAGTCTGTAGGCCCACAGTCTATCCACTGAGCCAAACCAGTTTGAGAATAAATACCCTTTCTGACAGCTCATTGATTAAACTCCCTGTAGGCTGCCACTTGCAGTGTTCTAGGGTTTTTCCACCACACTCCTGGAGGAAAAAAAAAGGCCTGCTATTGGAGGGGCTAAGAAATTTCATATCCTGCCCTAGCTGGTTTGGCTCAGTGTCTAGAGCACATGTGTCAAATACAAGGCCCGCGGGCCAAATCCGTCCCGCCAGGCCTTGCAATGTGGCCTGCACCTTGCTGTCATCACTGCACTCCGCTGCGTTTCCATCACAATGACAGTTTATGACTGTTCAGTAAACCATTCGGCCCGCGATTTAGGCTGGATTTTAGATTTTGGCCCCTTCTCTGATTGAGTTCGACACCCCTAGGATAGAGCCTCAGCCTGCTAACCGCAGGATCCAGGTTTGATTCTGATCAAGGGTATGTATCTAGATTACAGGCTCCTCCCTGGTAAGGGCCCAGGTCAATTAAAGTGTCCCTCTCACATTGACGTTTCTCTCTGTCTCTCCCTCTCTCTTCCACACTCTCTAAAAATCAATGGGAGCATATCCTCAGGTAAGAAAAAGAAAGAATGAAAGAAAGGAAGGAAGGAAGGAAGGAAGGAAGGAAGGAAGGAAGGAAGGAAGGAAGGAAGGTAGGTCATAGCCTATGAAAGATACATTTTGAAAATGCCCAAAGAAAGTTTTCATTTTTTCATGGTGAAGGTACTAGAGTTGGTGTTGATGAGAACACCTTGGTGGCTTCAGTGACTGGCAGTGGCTGCAGCAGCTGGTGCCTTCCCTTGATCAGCCCGATCGCCTGGCATCCCTCAAGGAGTCCCAGATTGGAGAGGATGCAGGCTGGGCTGATGGACATCCCCCCAACCCATGCACGAATTCCATGAACTGGGCCTCTAGTTTTCAATAAAGTACCTTACTCTAATAAACTCTATTGAACACTACCTCATTCTATTGAGCACTATTAACTACCAACACACTGAGTTGTATAATAATAGTACATACAGTTTACTGTAAATTTGTTTAGAGAAGTTCATGTCTTTTTAATGTTACATATCTAAAAACTTGTGGAAATGAGAAAAAAGAAGAAGTAAATAATGGTTTGAACCATTCCACTGCAACCTGGTCCTTGAAGGACTATTGAGATTTCTTTTAATTCCTCTGCTTATTTTTTTCTGATGATGGATTTGAGGTATCCAGGTTCTCTCCCTTCATTTCCCCTTAATTCCTTTCCAATCAGACTCTTTATAGCCAGTAAATCTGATTTCCTCAGTGCTACCAATAATATATAGTTTCCTAAATTTAGTCATGTATTTGTAGCCTGGGTTTCTTTGATTTATCAGAAGCAAGTGACAAAGCTCTTTTCTACTTTCTATACTGTTTTTACCACTGGACTTTCAGGACTCAACACTCTCTTGGATTTTCTCCTACTTTTGGAGAATTGCTCCTTGGTCTCTGTTGCCTTCTCTTCTTTTTTGATTTTTAAAATGTAACAGACCTATACTTACATGGTAGGCAAGATACCATAATTAGGAAGGTGGATCTCTCAAGGCTGAGCTTATCCATTGAATTCTGATGTGCTGAACCCTGTGATTGCCCCAAATGTGGGAAACTCGACTGCATACTTTGTGGTAGCATAGGACTGTATCTGTGCTTTCCCCTGGCAAAAACAAACAAACAAACAAACACACAAACACACAAAAGAACAGGCCTAAGAAATAGTCCTTGATGATCTCATACATCCTTGTGGCTGAAATACCACCTATACTCTGACAACTCTCAAATTTATATCTCTAATTCATATTTTAAAAATAAATTTCCATATGTAAATTCTTATAACATACATCTATCATCATCTTATTTTCTCTTAGAAGTTTTTAAATGTATTTTTATTGATTTCAGAGAGGAAGAGAGAGGTAGAGAGGGATATAAACATCAATGATGAGAAAGAATCATTGTTCGGAATCATTGATCAGCTGTCTCCTGCATGTCCCATATTGGGGATCCAGCCCATAAACAGGGCATTATAATTTTTTAATTTAACATGTCCATGTATAAATTCATAATCTTCTCACAAGAAATCTTATCTATCTGTAGCCTTCACTATTTCATTTTATTGAACACTCTCCCTTCTAGTTTCTTAGGCTATACAATCATGTAAACTTCTACTTTATATTAAATTCTAAGTATTTTTTTCCCCATCTCTACTTCCACCACTCAAGTGTGAACCACCATCACCTCTCACCTGTATTTACATTCTAGCTTTCTATGAGTTCCCCCTAATACCCAAGATAAATAAACCCCCAAAATACAGCTGCCAAATTGAATCTTTTAAAGCATAAATCAGGTTACATCACTCTTCTACTTAAAACTCTGTGTGGCTACTCTTTACATTTAGTATAAAAGCCAAGATATCTATAGTGTCTATCAGTAGGGTAACCACATCATTTATGATGCAAACCAGATCAGAGAGTGAAGGATGGGGTTGAAGTAATTATAACAGAACACTAGACACAAAAATAAATTGGTCTGGGCAAATGGAATGTTTTATCATGCTGCTGCTAATGGGCCTCACAATTTGCCCCCATTGCCTTTCTGATCTCTTTGGCCATCACTCTTCTCCTCTGTATTGATTCTGTTCTCATTCCATGAGCTTTCTTTTCTTCTTCAAACATAGCATGCAGGAAGGCACACGTCTACCTCAGGGACTGTGTTCCAACTCTGTTTTCTCTGCCTAGAATATTCTTATCTTGAGAATTCACCAGGATTACACCATTTTCTTATATTCTTTGCCCACATCTTGCCTCTTCTAAGGAGCTTACTCTGACCACTCTATTCAATATGGAAATTCATGCCTTAACAATATTTCCATAATGCTGTGAGACTTATATTGCATAAACTATGCATATACAAAGTACTTAGTATACAGTAAATCATAAATGCTAGCTATCATAAGTTGCATCATCAGTAGATATTTCTTTAGTAAATCAGTATTTTTTTTTTATTGTAAAGTATGGCAGACACATTTTCAGATGATTGATATATTAACCTAATTATTAGCATGCTTAAAATATCTAGAGATAAATTTAGATATGAATACAGGTCATTTCTTGATTTTGAACAATAATACTAGGAATGCTGTTAGAATCAGGACAGTCCCAACTCTGATACTTATCTATATGCTAGAAGCCTGGTGCATAAAATTCATGCATGGGTAAGGTCTGTGGGCTTGGTTGGCAATCAGGGCCAATCTGTGGGGTGACTGGTTGGATAATCAGAGACCCCACTCACACCCACCTGGCCTGGTACCACCCACTTGCTCGCCCTGTCCCCCCTTCCAATTGCTGTCTGTGGGTGACCAGTAGGCAATTGTGGGCCCTGCTCACATCTACCTTGGTCTGGCACCTCCCGCTCCTCTGCTCCACCATCCCTCCAAGGTTCCTCTCTCATCAATGTACATTACATTGCATTAACTTTAATGACAAAAATCTAGTCTGATATTTCCATGAGCAAGTAATTTATAGGTATAAGCATAAAGATATAAGGTTGAAAGCAACTTTATTAAATATCAGTATATTTAAAAACTTTTAAAAATATTCTGTTGATTTTTTTACAGAGAAGAAGAGAGAGGGATAGACAGCTAGAAACATCGATGAGAGAGAATCATCTCTCAGCTGCCTCTTGCACACCTGCTACTGGGGTTGGGCCCACAACCAAGGTACATGCCCTTGACCGGAATTGAACCTGGGAGCTTTCAGTCCTCAGGCCAAAGCTCTATCCACTGAGCAAAACTGCTTTCGGCTATAGTAAAATTTTTGATCAGTGATTGTGTGTGTGTGTGTGTGTGTGTGTGTGTGTGTGTGTGTACAGACATCACTGGAGATGAACCATGTCATTGATTCCTTTAACAACATGGGATATACTGGGTTCTCATTTCAAACTATTGTGCAAAGTTCTTTATTTTTAATGACTAAGTGAAGAAGAATACTGTATTTCCATTTGTTCTTATAAATGTATTGTTTAGAGATCAGTTCCTTATAAAAATATTTTATTGATTTCAGGAAGGGGGACAGAGTGAGAGAGAATCATTGATTGGCTCCTTCTTGCATGCCCCACACTGGAGATTGAGTCTGCAACCCAGGCACATGCCCTGACCTTAGAATCAAACTGTGACTCCTGGTTCATAGGTTGATGCTCACCACAAAGCCATGCTAGCCGGGCAGAGAGATCATATCTTAGGTATGATAAATTCATTTAAGATATTTTCTGAAGACACAGAGTAGTATTTCATTAGTACAGAAAAATTCCCCTACAATTAGAATTTAAGAGTGCTGCCATCTTGCTATTGGCATTCATCTTCTAGTTGAATTTGTTTTATAATAGTAGAAGGTCAAATTTCTTCTCTTTTCATTATGGTTCAAAAATAAAAACTTCTAATTCTCAACTTGTATCCATTACCCTGAAAGCAGACTACAAAGATGCTTTTTCCAAGCTTTTAAAATGCCTTCTTAAAAGATGATGCAATAGTCTGGAAAATACAATAAGAAAAGGAGAGAATGACAATTTATTCCATGTTGTATCATTCTTCTATGTGATTTCATCATTCTTTTGTTTTCTTAGTACTTTTCTTTTTTTAGCCCAGGTAGAAATAATCAATATGTAATAATGAGTAATGATGAAACAATTATTAGGATAATAAAAATAGAAAAAAAATTTCAAAATACAGAGAAAATAAAATCACTGTGATTCTATAATTTATTTTAGATTCACAATAGAATTTAATGGAATCAAATGATAGTTTCAAGATAAGAAGACTTATAATTTATTTAAAATAGGTAAATTTCCTTTTTGTTCTTAGGTAGGACTCTAAAATATATATATAGGTCATGAAATATGAATCCTTAAAAACAGACTACAAAGATGCTTTTTCCAGGCTTTTAAAATGCCTTCTTAAAAAATGATGCAATATGAATCCTAAAAGACTCAAAAACAAAAATCAGTCCAATAATCCTAATACTATCACAAGGTGAATCAACCTGACACATTATGTATGCTAAGTGACTCCCTATTTTATTGAACACTGAAGAAAGAAAATTTGGGGATAGGAAAATAATAGATAGAATGAAGCAAAATAAGAAAGACTTGTATATTTACATTGAAAGAGTATAAATAGTAAAATAGTAAATAATTTTTTAAAAATATATTTTTTAAATTGATTTTTTACAGAGAGGAAGAGAGAGGGATAGAATTAGAAACATCAATGAGAGAGAATCATCGATCAACTGCCTCTTGCATACCCCCTACCGGGGATGTGCTCGCAACCAAGGCACATGCCCTTGACCAGAATCGAACCTGGGACATTTCAGTCCACAGGGCAATGCTCTATCCACTGAGCCAAACCAGTTTCAGCATAGTAAATAATTTTATATATGAGTTATATGTACATATATGTATATATTATGTATGATTATATATATATATATATACATGTAAATATATGTAAAATATATGCATATAGAAACATATATGGATATTATTTCTGCTTTGTGGATTGATGACACAAAATCCACATTTCACACATGCCATTTAATATGTTAGAGTGGCCCAGTCCTTGTAGCTCAGTAATATTGATACTTGAACCAGGAGGTCATGGTTCTATTCCTGATCAGGGCACATGCCCAGGTTGCTATCTTGGTCCCCAGTGAAGGGTATGCAAGAGGCGCCTGATCAATAATTTTCTCTTATCATTGATGTTTCTATCTATCTGTCCCTCTGCTTTCCTCTCTGAGGTCAATAAAATTATATTTTAAAAAAGATATTAGGGTAGTTTGACTATAATATCTGCTACTTAAACAAAATTTATTTGAGATTGTTAGAGATTAAAACAAAAAAAATCATAAGTAGTATCTGTTATTTGGGAAGAAGAGAGTAGTACATTAGGTTGGAACTATTAATTTTGAAATGCATTAATTTTTGACAATTGAAGCTAAATTTACTGACAAAAATGGGGTAATGCAAGAAAAATCACTGCTAGAGCATTAGCTAAAATCTGAAAATATAAATTGTAGCTATTACATTTTTAGTAGTCATTTCATGTAGACATTACTGACTCTAGTTGTCTATAACTTTTAATATAGTTATAAGCTATCCTCCAGAAATTAATTTCTGATAAGTCTAATTAATACTCAGCCATATTAGCAAAGAAAGAAGAAACAGGAATGATTTTCATTATCACATTTATTTCACTTTAGATCGGCATTGCTGTTTTCATCGTGTGACTGCAAATGAGTTCTTAAATGGCCAAGGTGTTCTTTTAAGGGCATTTGAGGCATGACTGAAATGTTTCCTTCATTTCACTGAATAAGCCATGCAGGTGATTATATGATACAGCACTGGAAAATTAATTTTTTTCATTCTCAATAGTGCTTTTTGCAGTAACATTTAAATTAACAGTGATAGAATTGACATAAGGAGGAAAATAAAATCATCAAATATTATAAAGATAAAAATATAACATTTAAAAAATTGTTTAAAGTTGATTCAATTTTGATATATTTATTTTACAAGAAAGCAAGAATCACAAATATTTTTTATCACAAACAGCACCTATGTTAATTCACACTTATTCCATAATAAATACCATATTTTCCGGCATATAAGACG